GAGAATCCTTGGGTACCGCTGGTTTGACTTTGTGTGGAATGAGCGGCTGCTAGAGGAGTCCAGAATGAGGCGCATTACCTGCATTGTGAGGGAGCGTCAGTTACGGCACTACGGCCATGTGCCGCGTTTCCCTGAGGGTGACTCAGTTTGCAGGATCCTCATTGCTGAGGACCCAAGCGGCTGGACCAGGCCGAGGGGACGCCCACGCAACACCTGGCTGCAGCAGAGGGAAGGCCACTTCCTGAGGGTGGGACTGGACCGTGTATCTGCCTGGGGGGGGTCGCCAGCCAGGATCCCAAGGAGTTTCGCTTTGTGGTGGGTGCAGCAACGCACTGCATCAGTGCATGGTCCCCAACCTGACCTGACCTGGACATGTCTGTCTCATTTATCCCACACACACACACATATAAACAAGTGGTGTGCAACAGTTTCTATTAATGCCAATATCTGGTTACAGCTGAAACCACCAATTTTCTCACTATTCACAAGATTTTTAACAAATAGTGAAATGACTTAAACTGTGACAATAATCCGTGTGCAAGGGCGTAACTTTGGCTGGAACATTGCGGGGGTCGAGGTTACAGCTGAAACCACCAATTTTCTCACTATTCACAAGATTTTTAACAAATAGTGAAATGACTTAAACTGTGACAATAATCCGTGTGCAAGGGCGTAACTTTGGCTGGAACATTGCGGGGGTCGAGGTCTCCACCCATTACAGGGGAAACATGATTATTGGGGGGGGTTATATTTCCTGGATCTGATTATTGGGGGGGTCATGACCCCCCTAACCCCCCTGGAAATTACGCCCATGTCCGTGTGCATCGTTGTTTGTGTACTGGACACCACAAATCTATGTAACGATTTTATATATAGATACCTTCATATATTAAGCATTACAGCATCTTCTGTTGATAGTCATAAGGCATTATAGTGTTGATTATACTTCATAAGTTCCAATGAAGCTCTCATCTATAATGCATGTAATGTGTTATAATGGTCAGTAGAAGAATTAAGGATGCTTTGTACTGCATGATGTATTGCTCTGAGTAAGTGTCTGTAGATTGAAATCATGATGCATTGTGAATAGTGCATTACATATGAGCATCATACAGCATTCATAATGCATAATGAACATGGCTATAATGAGTTATACCTTTTTGTAAATATTTATAGCTATGTTTATAATGCTTTATGAATGTATTATAATGTGTCACGAATGTGTTCATAGATTCTTATAGACACAGCTTTCACAGAAAATGATACCAGACTAACTTTGCCGCGGTCCAGTAACTTACTTACCAAAGTACACCAGTGAGTGAAAGCACACTACTGTCATTAGTAGATTAGGGGTTAGTAGTTTCATTTAACTTTTATGTCATGTTCAATGTTTTACTACCAGAATGAAAAAGCCCCTCCCCCTAATAAGCTCTGAAGTTAGACAAAGAGCTTGTTTGTCATTAGAAAAGCAACTGCATGGTATTGCTGAAGACTGTCTTCTGAGCCAGTAATAGTTGATAGGCCAGATACCTACAGTATCACCCTGCTAGCTCCCTTGCACCAGGTTCGACAGAATGACAGATTAGCTCAGAGTCTGATACAGAGGAAGAATTGTCAAATGAACAGCCTGACAGTTTGGGCTGAGTTGCTGCATATCCTTTAGTGGCTTAGTGTGCTGAGGATGTACTGTGTCCTGTGGATGTGAAATTTAAAGGTGTCTGGTACTCTTATAAAGTAAGAGTGCTGAGGGCTGCTAGGATTGCTGTCGATGCCTTAGACCTTGTCCACTCAGAATGTGAAGATGGTGGCACAGGAGGTAGTGCTATCGTTCGGCAACTGGAAGGTTGCCGGTTCGAGCCCTGGTTCCTCCTGACCCCATCGAAGTGTTCTTGAGCAGGACACTGAACCCCAAATTGCTCCCGGTGTGCAGGTTGGCGTCTTGAATGGCAGCCTCCGCCACCGGTGTGTGAATGTGAGTGTGGATGGGTGAATGTGAGGCATAAATTGTAAAGCGCTTTGAGTACTCGTAGGAGTAGAAGAGCGCGATATAAATGCAGTCCATTTGATTGTGTACTGCAAATATTTGCCACACAAATAGTTTTCAGGGCTGCAGATAAGAAACAAATGTATCCTTGTCTGTTTGGGAGTGGAACGCAGCCTCTAGTCTGTGTAGAACAAAACAATCCTTTGCTGGATTCGAGAACATATATAATATGATATTTCTAGACTTAGTGGTAATGAGTCATATAACTAAATCAGTACTGGGTAAAAACATGTAATTCATATAGTCTTACAACTGACGGAGAAATGCATTGTATAACATTATATTTTGCGAGAAGATGCTTTGCTCTGAGTAAGTGTCTGTAGGTTGAAATCATGAGCATAGGAGTAGTCTTTGCACAAGATAAGAGGGAAGAGGATGGCCTGCTGTTATTGGTTTGTTTTGTGGTCAGAAAAAAAACAAGTTTACTTGATGGATTTCTAAGAGACTTTACACATGAATTGCAGCAGTGGAATAACAGTGTTCCTTAAACTCGATTCTGTTATCTGTGGCACTCCCTTCCCTGCTAGGGCCTTTGTGAAAATCACCAAGTGTTACAGTGCACATCATGAATGTAACAAATGTTGCCAGCCTTGCATTTATTTTAACGACAGAATGACATCGCCCCTAAATGATTACATGTTATGGACTGATGCATCATTTCCAGAAAGAGTTGATGCAGAGCATCACTATGAGTGACACCATGGTTTTGGTCACACAATTTTAGAAGATTTCAGTACATGCATTTTGTGTAATTTGTCATGATGTGTCAACTTGGTTTCCTTTGACATTTCACTTGCCTTCTGGTCTTGCTGACAGAATTTCAGTTAGTCTAACTGGAATACAACCATATATAGCTGCAGAATTTCCCAGTTCCTGTCGTATGGTGTGAAAGTGACATAAAAAGTGGCTAAAATATACAAGAAAAGGTAAACATAACATGCTAACAGTTATTTTTATGTTTATAACTTTTTGTAATTACTGTTCTTCAGACTCCAATCACACCCTTAAGTCCCAATACCTCACTACTCCGCCAACATAACTATTGGCAGCTTTTCAAAACCCAAATTAACCCCGTCCTCTACCCTCCCACCACAACTGTCTCAACATCTAAATATACCTCCATATCACCTACCCCTAATACAATATCTACCCCAACATACCCTTCCACCCCAACTACGCCAGTATCTACATTTAACCAGCTCTGTCAACTTAAAGTTTGTTGACAAAATTTTTCTCTCTGTGTTTATTAATCTGATACATTCTTATGTCCTGTCAGATACCTACTCTGGGTGCTGGCAGAGGAGAAAATATCAAAAGGGTCACGTGAAACATTTTTTCAACAATATTCTCACATCCAAATGCAAAAATATGTTTCAAGGAAATGCTCACCAGAAGTCTGCTGCAGGGCTTTGAGCTCAGAATGGCACTGAAATTCCCATTCAATTTCTGAATTGTAATTGAATTTGAATTGCGGTTTGAAAACAATTTGAATTTAAGGCATCTGAATTAATATGGAATTGAATTCGAACTAATTCATATATATATCTGTTGATAAAAGGCGCAGCCATCTCAGATTCTGAACTCCGGATCCTCTGTGCTGCTCCGAGATAGGCTATGTCTCGGATCTTCGAGAAACGGGAGCGCGCATGTCGTCACTTCTGGCTTCAAAACTCGGAATCCGACTCGGAATACGAGTTCCCAGGGCAAATGGAATGCACCAAAACTGGCCGAAATGGGTTGACAGAGACATTTCAGGGATTTTGAGTCATTCTGCGCGTTAACCCGTTAATTTTGACAGCCCTAATAAATATATATATATATATATATATATATATATATATATATAAGGTGCAGGTTTTAACAATGCAGCTTAATATTTCAATACAAATACATTAGAAGTGTCACCTATAGAATATAATGCTCCAGTTCTGGCTATAATGACTGCAGTGTGCAACCAAACAAATACCTGAAACTGATTTTTTTACATTGAAAGTCAAACGAGTTCCTCACCTGTTACCAACGCTTCACATGATGTCACTGTATACCTGAGTGAACCATGTTTTGCTGTGAATGCCGACCCTTTGGCCTACTGGAATGAAAACCAAACCAGCATTCCTGAGCCAACACAACTTGCCTGCAAATATCTTGCTATACCAGCTTTCTCTGCACTTGTTAAGAGTCTCTTCTGTGAAACATTAAACTTATTCAGACTAGAATGTTGCAATCTAATCATAAAGCTTTTGAAGATCTTTTGCTGATTAAATGTAACAGTATTGAACAATGACTCATATGTATCGATTTTTGCTATAGCACTGTGGTTGAACTGAAAGATAAAACTTATGCTTGTACTGCATATAAGATAATAGGAGTAACTACATGAATTAATGTAATTCTTTTTGCCATATATATTGTGCTTTCATTTGATTTTAATGATAAAAAATAAACACATTCTTAATCAGTAAAGATTAAGATAATATACTTGACACTTGACTCAAACCCTACATGAACTTCTGGAAACTCATCAAAAACACTGGATCATTCAATTTTAATTCGACAAATGTGCGTCATGGGAGTGGCAGCCCTGGGGCTTTGAATTCAGAGGAGGCCACCAGGAAGGGCTGAGCAGCACATAATGGTCCACACAACAAGTGAAACAAAGTTAAACTGGAGGTGACAAGGACCTGTACTGGATTCAGCCCACGAGTTAAACTGGGGGTAACATAATTTGTTCTGGAGTTCGGAAAACACCAGATTCAGCCATTTGTGCCAGAAGACGCCAAACTGAATCGGTTTGCCGAGTCCAGGCCTGAGACTATATCACACATCTGGGCCAGATACCTTTTGCTACCTGGGTATGTGTTAACAAGAGTTATATTTTGCTAATCTCCCAAAAACACATTCTAGCATCTGTTATACAGTAAGGCTACAAACATTGAAGTGAAGGAACACAACAGACTTACAGCAGCTGTTTAGTGTTTATTTCTATAAAGTATCCTAAGAATGTACATTATACTGTCCAGCTCTGATAAAAAAAAAAAGGCATTCTATCATTCCTCAGACTAGTACTGTCATGAAAAATTCACAAATCAACAGGGTTGGCCGGAACTGTATATTTAGACTTTAACATTTTTAAAGCAGCAAATGATATTTAAGGCACATGGCTTAATATATTCTTTGCTAGCATTAATAACCCAGCACCCAAATGTACACAGCAATTTAGAAGGTGGACTTACAGCGTAACCTTGTACTCGCTGCATCAGACTACTGTAACTAGGCTTGATAGCTACAGTATAACAGTAAACATTTTTGACATTTGTTTTGCATGTAATATACATGTTTTCCATGAGGAAGATGTTAAAAGTGGCCTTGGACAGCTATGAAACCAGCATAACACAAAGGAACAAATTGTCTGCCTCACAATCACCCCTAAAGAATATTTCCATCATTAAAATGAATTTTAACAGAATTCGTTACCCTGCGGGTCTTCACAAATCAGCGTCGCCCATTCTGCTACTGTACGTGGTGTTGATCCTCCCTGAAGGCTTCGCCTGAGGGAAATCCCGGCCGTCCAGAGTGTCTCTGGAGTACGGGACGCTGCTGGCTTCGCTCCTGGTCCTGCCGATGCTGGGCACCTCGATCCTCCGGGGCATGGCCGCTGTGTTGCGGAAGTAAGTGGTTTTGATGTTTGAACGTGTCTCTCCCCGGTTCCACCCGCCGCAGCAAGAGCACATTCCGATTATCAGGGCTGATCCACTGAGAACTTCCATGATGCCACCGATGAAACCCAGAACAATGCAATAACCCGCTGCAATGCTCGGGGTCACTGTCACTGATGGGATGGTTGTTATGATGTGCGTGTACCACGAAATGGGAATCAGAGTCATGACACCAGAGAGGAATATAAAAATACCCCCAATTCCTGCGATTATCCAGTTTGGCCGATCTCTCCAGCATCTAACTCCGAATGTGGCCACTGCAATGCCCAGCAGTGTGACCAGCAGAGATGCGATCATCAAGCCCTTGGCGACTGGGATTATCTGTTGGCTGAAGTAAGTTGTGTCTGGCTGGCTACACGTTACCGTGGTGGTAATCGTGGAAGCTTGGCATATATCCCAGATCCCCTGCTGTAGTATCATATCAGGCGCTTGATTCGGAATATTACTGAGTACTCTCCAGTTCGGAGCTACAGTGCTGGTCAGATCCAGTACCAAGCCGCAGGGAGCAAAAACCATCCCAAATATATGTAGACCCGGCGTACGCATGGTGTCCAGCAGCAGTGTCAGGCAAATTAACAACAGGTGCAGGCAGATTCCGGAGTAAATGCTGAAACATCCTCTCCTCAAAGCTTAAGAACTTCTAGGGGGAGGTGCCGTGTGTCGTGGGTAGGCATCATGTGTCGTTTGGAATTTATACAAGGAGAGTCAGGTTACAACTCAACTATGTTGCACTTTATAACTTGGGAGACCAAACTATTGAAAATTGTGTTTTAAGCTCCAATACTGAAATATAAGGCACGGCCTTAAGATGAAACATACCGAAATCAGTTCGCGAAAGTAACATAACTGGATGAAATGTTACCATGTCTGCCGATAACGTGGGTGAAGCAGTAACATGAGTTAACGACAACTTTAAAAAAAATAAAGGTAAAAATGTTTAAGGCTTTCTCTCGGCCTGAGCTGCCTGTCATGTGAGGACAGAATGCTAGGCCCATCAAATTAAACCTGTCAGGGCACTGTACAGCAAAGTGTTAATATTCTATGCATATTCTAACCCAAGGGTGCACAATCTTACCTAAAAGGGCCGGTGTGTATGCAGGTATTTGGATAACCTTACGGTCAGCTGTTCAAACCCAGGAGTGAGGACTTTTCAGCCAATCAGTCCTCTAATTAGCAATCTAATTAGGGAGTTGCAGCGAAAAACCTGCATACCCAACGACCCTTTCTGGATAAGATTGTCCACCCCTGCTCTGACCTGTTATGCAAAAAAGTACATTGAAACCGAAAGAAGTGCATTGTAATTTGATCTGAATAGAAGTATCAACTGGGCAATAAGTGAGTTAGCATCCTTTTTCAAATAAAAGAAGAGGACATTCAGAAATCTCCTGTAACAATATCCGCAGGCCGCATATACTGTATAGCGTGATTTTTGTGTACATGCATATGGTACACAGTAAGACCTTACCAATATTAAATGTAGCAATAACAAAGTATATTCTACATTATTACTCTCCCCACTAGAATGAAAGGGATTCTGAGGTTTTACCATAATTCTCAAGAGATGGTGTAATGATAAAATATCATGCATGAAGGGATAACAGAGCAATGTAAATCATGCTTTTATATGCCCATCAAAGGATGAGGGAATTATGAAAAAAACATAGCTACACATTTTTTGGTGACTGAGGTAAACCACAGATACAGAGGGACTACCGTACGGGTCAACTGAATAATTCATTACCACAATATATTATAACTAGTGTTGTGGTCAGTACTCAAAATAGTAATGTTACATGTTACTCGTTATGCATTACTTTACTTAATTGCTCCCTGCAGAAAGTAGTTACACTACTTGTTACTTTTGCATTACTTTGCAATGATGCATTGTTTTATTTGATTGCCAGTTGCTAATGGCCTGTATCATTAAACCTTACACAGACCCATATATCACCATACCAGTTTTAATAAGGATAAAGTAAAGAAAGGCAACAGAACAGCTGCAGAGCAGGTGAAAACCAGTCAAACAAGCACTTCACAGAACAAGACTCAGCTGCATATTTCATGCCTTTTAAACAGGCTAGTCAAAGCTGCACTGACAGTGGGCTATAAACCTCAAAGTAAAACTATGTCAATATATAAAACAATGAAAGAAGCTGGACCTTGTAACACCACTTATTGTAAATATAAATCACACCCCCCACACCCAAAAAATATAAATAAATAAAATAGACTGGCCTTTTTGTAACACTATAAGATCAGGACAAATGTAAATGAGGAAAAAACGTACTTAAATGGCAAATGGGCTGCATTTAACATGCCAAATAAAATGATTAAACTCAGTAAAGCTGCTTATTTATCAGTAAACCAGTGATTATATCTCATTAGGAAGAGTCTCTCAAATTGTTTGACACACAATCTATTACTCCTTGGAGTTAACACTAGATTGCACAGACTGGAAAGCTTCTCCACTGGGCCTCTAGATGGCGTCGCTCTGTTGAATTTCAACAATACAGCCTTTATTGTAGGGAAATGATTCAGGACCTCCATCCTTGAACCTAACTTCAAGTATTCAATGACTTCAGTGTCATAATCAAAAAATAGTCTGTTTCATCAACAAAAGTGTGGAATTCATTTTGAATGGAACTGCTACTGGAGGCAGGTTGATTGAGTTTTGCACCAAGCTCATCATAAGGCAAAGCAGAACGCTCATTAGGCAGCAGTGTCCTGAGGGCTGCTCTCCTTTCCTTTGCCCGTAGCCACTGCATTTAAAATGCCACTGCATTTTAAACACCACTGCATTTTAAACATCGGCAGTCTGACAGCAGTGAGGAGAGCATCTCTGCTGTCAAACTCATTGCCAAAATTGGATAAGGTCGGCTATATGAAATGCACTTGCACTGATTTGTTAGTGTCACATTTACACATTAGAGGGACTGAGACTCAGCCGGACCCTTAGCCCCCCACTGACCACCCCGGGACCTGGAACTGGGGTGATTAGAGCCTCAGACTGAGGCAGGGGCCCCCAGAGAGAGACTCAGGGCAAGACCCAGAGGGTCCCATTCCAATTCCTCTAGCACAACGCCCTCCGGGTCCATCTATTCAGAGCTAGCAGCAGCTGGGAAGTTGGGTGCAGAGTGGACGGCAGCCAGTGAGTAATGCACAGAGCAGGCGACGGCCTGGGAGTCAGGCGTGGCTGGAGATGTGGAGAACACTGGCAGGACGACAGGAACAAGGTGAGCATTGACGGGATATCAGGAGGCAGTGAGGTAGACACAGCCAGGACACCTGGAGGCACAGATGGGGCACCTGGGTGCAAGCAGAACGATGCTGGGACACTTGATTCAGCCTTAGGCAGCACAGATGCAGCGGGATCAGGTGCGGGCATGGTGGTCCTTCTTGGAGCTGGAACCTGAGGTGCAGTGGAGGCTAAAACAAGCTTGGCCGCCGCTGCAGAGGCAATGACAGCTTCGGGCAGCACTACAAAGGTGTCACTCAGTGTGCCAGACTTAGGAAGCTCTGGCGGAGCAGGAGCAAAACCTTATGGGCGGGACTCTGGAAGCTTGGGTGAAGCAGGAATAGGACATTGTGGGCCCTTGTGGACCAGACTCTGTAACTCAGGATGCCCCTTCTGGACTGGACTCAGGTGGCTCAGGATGAGAAGAGGAGGACCCCTACGGGCTGGGTTCTGCAAGTTTGGGTGGTCCGGGTATGGTCTGCTTCCTCCACCTCCTCTTGTTGGGAAGGGGGTCTGGCAAGGCACTCACCGGAAGTGAGGAAAAACCCCTGTCCCCCTCAGGACCAGGAACAGCTAGGAAAGCCCCTACTGGGCTAGAGACCCAAGACACTGACTGGGCAGCAGCGACCTCCCCAGGGTAGGAATTTGGAGACACAGCAGGCTCCCCTGGGCAGGAATCTGAAGGCTCAGCTGCGATTACGGCGTTCTCCGGGCAAGGATCTCGAAGCTTGAATGAGACGGAGGCTGAAATAAACACTGGCGACTTCGCCAGGTCCAGTAGATGCCAGAAAACTAAATGTGTCCACCTGCCTCATTTAGACATTTGCACAACCATGGGGCCTGGAGGAAGGACTGGGTCTCAGACAGGCTTTTCCAAATCGCCTGAAAGGTGCAGAGCTCACTCACCAGGGTATCAACCGGGTCAGAAGCTGAAGAGGAGGTGAGGGTAATAGATCTCAGCATGAGGGGCGTCTCGGAGCCTGGGAATCATCTTTTTGAGATAGTCATTCTGTGACGGCGGGGCATGGCGCAGGCGGAAAAAGGAGTGACGATCCACTGACGGCTCCAAGGCAAAGGGGTTTATAGATAAAACTGAACACACTGGGGAAGACCACAAAAGTAAAGGCACCATGAGGGCTACAAAACACACTGGCTAATCGAGGAACAAACGAAGGAACTACAGTACAAAGTAACAAAACACTGGGATCAGGACTAGGAAAGCGGACTAGAAAACATAACAGACGCTAAAGGTTAACAATACTACGACATCTAGAACCATAACAATACATGAAACATAATTGGACAGAGCAGAAGCTGAGAACACCTAAAACAGGAAAACGATGATAAATAATACACACTAGGGAAACTGAAAACAATGAGTACAGGTGAGGCCAGTCTCCAGCCAGCCTGAAACTCATAACCTGAGGGTTTACAATTCATTCATAACACACAACCCATTGAGCTTTGCGGTGGTCCAGGGAACATGGAAAACACACGAGGGCTAAACGGCTATGAAACAGAGAGGGGAGAAATGGAATTACTGTACCTACAATGCCTGCTGGCCAAACAGGGAAGAAAGTTGTAAATGACAGAGACTTGGAAAGAACATTTTTGTGACACATCTTGAATGGTTTTTACATTAAATGAAGTTAACGTTTTAGAAGATGAGAGTAGGTATTAGTTTTCATTTGTCAAGTAATCATGTTTGTGTATTAAATTTCAGACATCCTGTAGTTTCTTTGATTGAATAAAACCATGGTCAATCCTAAATATATATTTCCATCCTCAAGATTGTTTGCACTTTCATTTATGTATCACACTAGACTTGCTTTGCAAGATCACAATTGAATTTTAATATAAATATGACTGAGAAATCCACAAAATAATTACAATCTATTAATTAAGAATAAGTGAGAACTACAGCAGGCCTGCATTTATGTCAAAGACTGAGGGCGCGGATTTGGCCCAGAGATAAACCGAAGGTGACATATATTTGCCAGATCTGGCGCTGACCTACTATTGAGCTGGAAAGTGAAAACACCAGATTCAGCCATTTGTGCTGAATCTGTTTGCTGGGTCCAGGTCTGAGACTATAAGACACATCTAGCCCAAATCTGGGCCAGATAACACATACCAAGATAGCAAAAGATAACAAGAGTTATATTTTGCTAATCCACCAAAAACACATTCTAGCATTTGTTACTACAACCATTCAAGTCAAGGAACACAACAGACTTACAGCAGCTGTTTAGTGTTTATTTGTATAAAGTATCTTAAGAATGTGCATTATACTGTCCAGCTCTGATTAAAAACAAAGACTACCATTCCTCAGACCAGCATTATTGTGCAAAATTTGAAAATAAACATATGTATATAAATATTACAGCAATTTAAAAAGTGGACTTGCACCATAACTATGTACTCACTGTATGTATCAGACTACTGTAATTATGCCTGATAGAACAGTATAACAGTAAACATTTTTGCAAGTAAAAACCGATTATAACACGTTTTCCACAAGGATGATGTTAAAAGTGGCCATTGACTAGACAGACAAAGGAAACAAATTGTCACCCCTGAAGAATAATTATTTTCATCATTAAAATTAATTTGAATAATAATCATTACCCTACTGGTCTTCACAAATCAGCATCACACATTCTGCTACTGTACGTGGTGTTGATCCTCCCTGAAGGCTTCGCCTGAGGGAAATCCCGGCCGTCCAGAGTGTCTCTGGAGTACGGGACGCTGCTGGCGTCGCTCCTGGTCCTGCTGATGCTGGGCACCTCGATCCTCCGGGGCATGGCCGCTGTGTTGTGGAAGTAGGTGCTTTTGTTGCTCGAACGTCTCTCTCCCCGGTTCCACCCGCCGCAACAAGAGCACATTCCGATTATCAGGGCTGATCCACTGAGAACTTCCATGATGCCGCCGATGAAACCCAGAAAAATGCAATATCCCGGGGTAATGCTCTGGCTCTCTGCTGGGATGGCTGTGAAGATGTGCGTGTACCACGAAATGGGAATCAGAGTCATGACACCAGAGAGGAATATAAAAAACCCCCCAATTCCTGCGATTATCCAGTTTGGCCGTTCTCTCCAACATCTAACTCCTGCTATAGCCACTGCTAGACCCAGCAGTGTGACCAGCAGAGATGCGATCATCAAGCCCTTGGCGATTGGAATTATCTGTTGGCTGAAGTAAGTTGGGTTTGGCTGGTTGCACGTTACCTTCCTCGTAGTCGTGGAAGCTTGGCATATATCCCAGATCCCCTGCTGCAGGATTATATCCGGCGCTTCATTCGGAATGTTCCTGATTATTCTCCAGTGCGGGGCTACAGTGCTGGTCAGGTCCAGCACCAAACCACAGGGAGCAAAAACTATCCCAAATACAAGTATACTCGGTGTGCGCATGGCGTCCATCAGCCAGTATCAGGCAAATTTGCAACAGAAGCAGGCTGATGCGGACAGCTCTTCTCTTCAAAGCCTAAAAACTTCTAGGGGAGGTGCCGTGTCTCATGGGTAGGCTTCATGTGTCACTTGGAATTCATGGAAGGAGAGTCGGGTTACAAGTCAACTATTGTCACACTTTTTGTTAATTTGGGAGGCCAACCTAGTGAAACCTGTGTTTTAAGCTTCAATACCAAAATATAATGTTCGACCGACCCAAAAGAGTTTGAGAAAATGACACACAGAAAAGCATTACTGGAAGAAATGTTACCATTTCTGCTGATAATGCGGGTAAAGCAGTAACATGAGCTATCAAAATCTTTAAAATAAAAGTAAAAATGTTTAAGCCTACCTCAATATTAAAATTTAAAGGAAACATTTAAGGAACATTTTTAAACTTTTCCATTGGCCTGAGTTGTTAGCATTGTGAGGACAGGATGCTAGGCCTGATCAAGTTAAACCCATAAGGGCACCACACAGCAAAGTGTTAAGTGTGGAGCATACTCTGATCTGCCTGTAATCCCCACCATGCTCTCTATTATTGCTCGTCCAGGAGGGTGACAGAAAGCCCCCTAATCCTTCATGCTCAGTGGGTGTGACCACGTTTCACTGACTTGAAGTGGAACCAGGAAAAATAAATAATCAGATGGTCCTTAAACAGTAGCATTATCTGCCAGTTTTCGGGGACGGCCTGCACAGGGAATCTTTAAAATGGGAGGGCATCCATAAGGGAAAAAATGAAGGCATTCACCAATATTTTTCTTTTAAGTGCACAAAATAAGAACGATATAAATATTCCTTATATGACAATTATCTATCATTTGCATATTCATGCAATTCTGGAAACTATTAAAATGAAGTTGTGTTAGATAGGCTACAGTACATGTGTCGGGAAAAGTTGCACCAAGCGTTTTGTCATGTAAGATATAATGAAATTGGGGGGTGGGCATCCCAACCTGTCGCATTACCTCCACAACGGTCCATTTATTGTGGGGCCACAGACCTGGTAGTGCCATACCTAGCGTACTACACTGTAATGGCAGGGCATGACAGAAGCAATGATCCATAGAGTAGCTTGAAGACAACGGGTTTTATTGGACCTGCCAAGCTAAACAAGAAACAAAGGGACCAATAGGAGTCAAAACAAAGGCAGAGAAAGAACAGGCTAAACTAAACACTGGGAAAAATTTACATCAAAAACTACAGAAACCAAAGGCAAGAAACATGCAGGAACAAATATAGCACATACAGGAACACACAGGAACCAAAGGCACGGCAAACAAAAGTTATGCAATAAGCAAATGAGGACTAAGGGAAGGGCAGGCACTTAAATACACAAATAACGAGGACTTCAACAAGGGACAGGTCTGGGCTATTACTAAAACAACCAGATCACTAAGGACTACGATTAACAAGAAACAGGTGAGCATAATCACTACAGGCACTAGGAAAGACTAGAAACATGGGTACAAAGCATTACTGCAAGTAGAGAATTACAACAGGGAGCAAGAACAAGGAACTGTAACAGAAATACACCTATACATAATTACCTAGGGGTATACAAAGAAACAACTTGAAGGTTAGCCTGGAAGCAAGACCAAATAGGATGGCCAGTGACACCTGCTGGCCAAATTGGGAGCTGACTTACACCAAGCACGATGTACTGCCAGGATTACAGAGAACAGGGAATATGACCAAGGACAACACAGAACTAGACACAGGAACCAATGAACCCCAGGGACAGGACAGGCTGGATTAGGGCATCAATCAAAGGGGCACCAAAACAAGATAGAAGAAACCAGACAGAGATAGAGGGAAAAATTATGATGGATTTCTCTGCTCATGCAATTTGAAAGAATTTGTTTAATTGACTTTAAACATATTTTGTCCAACCTGCAGTCAAGCATTCTTTTTTTGTCCTACGTTTTTACTTTTCTGGAAGCATGGCACTGTTTAAAACACGACTAGCTTTCAAGCAAATGTCCCAAAATTTGCTCCCAAGGAGAACGGACAAGTGTACAGATAAGGAATTAGACATGTTGACTTACACATTGCTTGCAATTTCAATTTTTGTGTGCAGAATAATACTCACCTTATAGCTGTATTTGTTTTCTACAGGGCCTGTATGTCACAGCATTGCCTGAGTGCTTAATTGGCGCCCTCTAGTGAACTTTCTTGCAATGAGCCCAGGCTGCATTCTACACAGGACTATCATCACTAACAAAATCTAAAACAAAACCCATAATACAACAATTTCATTAAAATAAGACGTGAAAATAAATTGCGACTAAATGAGAACTACAAATACTGCTTCTGAAACTAACTGAAATAAAAAGAAACATAATTTTTAATACTAAAGTAGTGATTTGTTTAACTTTAACAATACCTGGGACATGTTTTGCCCATTTTCAGGATATTAGTACATAATACATACGGTCTATCCATGTAGGATTGTCTAAAGATCAGACATATAAAATAACTTAACATTCAGTCTATCCCTAGAAATAAAATTACTAAAAGTTAAACTGAAACTAAAATATATATAAACTAAATAAAATTTATATTTTTAAAATACACACTAATAAAGACTAAAACAATCATATTAAAAACTATAGCTAAACTGAATTTTAAATAGCAACAATATATGAAAATATAAAAATAATTCACTATTTATTTCCTCGCTGTCTAGTGAAGGAAGATATTGCATGTGATGAGGATGAGGTGCTTTGGCCAGATCAAAGATGCCTGTAAGTGGTCAGCAAGTGTTTACATCAACCACCATTGCCATGCATGAATCATGTAGCAAGTCTTTCGTAAGAGAACCCATTAAGAAGGAGCTATGGGACTCCCCCCCCCCCCCCCCCACAGCTGACCAGCCTCACCGGATTCCTTTAAGTGTCAGTTTCAGAATATACCCCATGACTGTATCACCAAAGACCTGCCAAGCCTGGATCTGTTGTTTCAGGGGATAATTCCTCCTCTGCCTGTGTGGGAGCAACATTTACTGTGATATTCATTAAATTCTCCGGACAGATTTGTGAGATGCAACAGGACGACATTTAACTTAGTATAGTTTTCGGTATTTTAATGTTTCATGGGTTTATGAGAATACAGTGATTAACATTACTACAAACTCCTGCCAGTTGTCATGGTAATGGTGTGTAACTTGTACACTGACCTTCAAGCAAAAAGGATAGAGCACAGTGAGTGTATTTTAACTTATTCATCAAGTGTGAGCTGCATGCATTGCTAGATTGTGTGGGCTATTTTGCCACAAAGTGCTGTTCTAGTGAACACAGTGTCACATTTTGAGCAAGGCTTGTTCACTTCTGAGAACTATTTGTGGATGTGTGCTCATAGTTTTGAGAAAATGAGACATTGAAATATGTATAATCTATTGAAAAAAACTGTTAAATATCTTCCAAGCTAGATAGAGAGGATAACTGTTAGCTGCCTGTCATGCTGTATGACTTTGGTTGGGCAGAGTGTAGAGCGCCTCATTCAGGGCTGATGAGGACATTCTTGGTCGAGTCCCGGACGCTCTTCAGGAAATGGAAGGCATCTGTGCCACCTGTGCCCTTTTCCTCCCTGGGGGTGGGGTCGCCCCTGTATGCAGTCTTACTGGGTGCAGACACATAGCTGGTTACAGCCTGCAGGTGGTAGCATCGCAGGTCCACCAGGGCCTTAACACACTTGTCGTAGGTGTCGATGAGATCCTGCTCGCCAGAAGACTGCACGTATGAGCGCAAGGGGGTCCGATGCTGGAGGACCTCGATCAGCTGCCGGTGGGCTGGGGGCATGTAACTGCGGATATCCTTCAGGTAGCTGTCAGCTGAGAAGAAGCCAGAACAGTGAGACAGGAGCGTTAGAGCTGTGGCTGAAATACATTTACAGTAGGTTGTTGGATCCAAACTAACATGTATTTAAATAGTATATTAAATGTACTGGATTGTACAAATATTTGCCCTTCTTGCTTGTCTAGACATTTAACATCTGCCAATACTTTAATTAAAAAAAAATGAGGAAGGCCTTCAGTAACTCAGCAGGCTCACCTGAAGCTTCCACTTGTCTGACACCCAATAGAGCATCAAAACATTGGATGCTGGAGCTCTGGGCAGCGCTGCCCCCCCTCAACTGCCTTGTGAAGACCCCCTCATAGCATAGCCCATCAGGTAGGGTGGGGTTGTCCTTCCACCTGTGGCCAAGGAGTGACAACATCAGAGTTATGGTTCTCATGAAGCTTGAAGAACCCTCTACTAAATACTGGCTACGCCTTTGACTCTCATCTGAGTGTACTGGGAATCTGAATTGCCTTCAGCCCTTCCCATTCTCCTTTCTGGCATCACAAAGAATTTCTTTGTACTGCATTTCAAGCAGCTTACCCAGTAAAGAAGATCCGCAGTGTGCCATAAAAGACATTGGGCTCCACATGTTCTAAGAAATAAATAAAGAGGGCAATTAAAATTCCAGCAGACACGTTTTTTGTGAAAAGCAAAATTCCAAAGCAAAAATGGTGGAACAGAAAGTGAAGAAATGTTAAGTCTATACATAAACAATGACAGCCTCCTGTAGCTGGGCTAACTCTGCTTTAGGGTGTCCAGTTACTGCCCGGAGCAGGACTGTAACCAACAGCACGCTAGATGATGATGACACCTAGTACTTGGTTTGCCGTCTTTGATCATTTTCCACCTTAGGGGTGATTTGAGACTTACTGCGCATGAGTCCGAACATCTTCTTCATCTCCTCCAGAGATTTGTTCATCATCTCTAGGCCATCATGCACACCACGATTGTCCTGGGTCAGCATGGAGTTCATCGCCATGACAATTCCCTGATGGAATGCAAATGTCTAACTTAACTCACAGCTTAAACACCACAGGCTTCAGCTGTCCCAGCAGACCATGGTGACATCTCCAGCAATTACACAGACATACACCTGCTGTCAGGTGATGCAGGCATTCCCAGGGGGACAGATCCTACCTCCATCCCTGTGCATGCAGCCTGTTCCACCAGCAGGGAGACCAGGAAGAAGCCCCTGCATGATTCTTTCCCAGGAAACTTGAATATGGTGTCCAGGTTCCTTTTGGCCCATAAAAACACAAAACTCAAAACCTTTTGACCACTGCACATACTGAGAACCAATTCTATAACTGCACATACTAAGACATGATATTATTATACTAAACGGCTTTATACAATTCACATGACTTGTAGTTCATGTCCTCATACCACTTATACTGCAGGATCTTTTGCTCACACAGACACACACATGTTCAAAAATAGTTAACATATTAGAACTTACTCAATTTCGAACGGGCTGGTGAGCGGCAGAGATCAAAGGGGTTCATGACATAAGAGGAGCAGAGATGGAACATTAGTAACCGAAAACTTTCTGGGATTCTGCTTTTTGCATTCTGAGCGCAGGCATGTAACACAACGTAGCAACAAACAAATAACAATAGCATTTAAGAATATGGTAATCTTTACATTCCTTTCATCTCTAGTAAAACATTCACGATGGCACTAATGACAAACATAATGGCTCTGAAGTATGACAAAATTATGAAGGGGTTGAGGGAGAGAGTGGGAAGGAGAGATATCGGGTGGGGAGGCACATAGCTAAACAGAAGGAGGGCATGAACAGACCCTGCAGGATCCCTCAGCTTCCAGTTAGCCAGCACACAGTCTGCATAGAGCAGGATGGGCGGCATGTCCAAGGCCTCCGACACTCTGCAGTACGGCTCAGCCAGCTGCCTGGGGAGCGTCTGCAGGCAGCAAACAGCACCAGCATCCGTAAGCCATCTCTCTCACTTTCATTTTTACTCAAAAAACCCACGTAGATGGGGGTATGACAGGTGAAGGTATGACCTTTCTGGTCTAATCTTTCAAAGTGTCAAAAGCTTTATTGTGACGTGTACTTAGTACAACAAATTTCTTACCTGCATGCTGATTGAGCACAACACCAAATAAATGCAAAATTTACAAATAAGTAAAGCAGCTGATGATGAGTAACAGTAAACAACAAAGAAAATAACATCACAGTAGACAAACCCTTAGCACATACATGCGCTATAGAACCCTTAGAAATAGAACCTGGAAATAAAAGTATTAATTATAGCAGAGTATTAAATAAGAGTATTAATTATAGCAGGATCTGGCGTGCAGGTAGCTTTTGTTGAGGAGCCTGACTGACTGTAGGTTATGGAATCTTGTGGTCCATCTCCTTAAGGTTGTATACTCTAAGCGATCTCGCAACACTTCCTCCTACCATCTCTCCTCTGAAGTCCTCCACCTGCTACCATCCCCAGTCTGAACTAATCCTACTGTCATATGGCTCCACTCCTCCTCTTATTCTCCACCTTCTTCCTTCTTGCCCCCCACCTTACCCACCTTGACTGGCTGGTGCTCTCCTTCCTGCCACACATAGCCCATGGTGATGAAGCCCAGTGCCAGGTGTGCCATCCTCTGTTCTCTGTGCCCCTCGAGATGCGTGATGCTCAACAGTGGCATCTGGTGGCCGGAGGACAGACACAGGCTGCAGTAGGTCAACATTACCTCAGCATCTCTGCCAGCTGCCATCCATTTAACACCACTGCTGTCCTGGTTAACTCTTGGCGAGGTATTCAATACAAACAACTTCCATATCTGTCTGTACAATTAGCTTAAAGAATACACCTGAACACTGACTTGTGTGCCATGCCACGGTCCTTAACCACAATGCCTCCTGGTGCTCGATGAGACTTACCTTATGGACCCTGTCCCAGACCTGATGAGTTTGGATCAGGTGGGGGAGGTCCATGGCGATGCTCATCCATGGCTGGTAGTACTCTGGGAGATCAGTCTGAAAAGGACACACATGAAGTGACCCATCATCTGCACTAAAGTCTGCTGTGACATCACCTGCACTCAAGAGGACATGCAGCTGTCACTTTACAGTCAATTTACTGCAGCTGTACATAGAAAATAGAAACAGCAAATCCCTTCCTGCAAAGTACTTGATATATAATATAATATAATATAATAT